GCTTACAGGAAATACAGGGACTGCGGAACACATGAAATGACACCCCAAGGATGCATTTAGCAAAAGCTAAACTAGGAAGAAGTCTAACAGGAAAATCAATCTGATTTCTTTAACAAATAAATGTCAAGATACTAAAAAAGAGAGACAGAGATTTAACGTATACATCAAAAGAAACTTAGCAAATATTAACCAAACACAATGTATGGACCTTGGGACTTCCCCGGTGGTACAGTGGTTAAGACTCTGCACTTCCACCACAGGGGGCGCGGGTTCGATCCCTGGTCGGGAAACTAAGATCCCACATGCCACACAGTGTGGCCAAAAATTAAAAAAATAATAATAAAAATGTATGGACCTTGTTTGAATCCCAATTCAAACAAATATAAAAAAAAAGTGTAATTGGAGAAATGTGAACACTGACTCAAATATTTGATAATATTAAGGAATTGTTGACATTTGGTGCTGTTTGATGATGTACTGTGGTTGTGTTTAAAAAGGGGAGGTCTTATCTTTTAGAGATGTTGCTGAAATATTTACAGATGAAATGGTATGACATTTGGGATTCAGTTAAAAATAATGGGTGGTAGAATAGAAAGCGAACAAAATTGATAAGGAGTTATTAATTGTTGAAGGTGAATAATAGGTACAGTAGAAGTTCATTATACTATTCTTTCTACTATTGTGTAAATACTTGAAATTTTCCACTATGAAAAGTTAAAATATATTTATGCCACTTCACACTCAGCCAACTGACAAAATTTTAAAGATCTGACAAACTTCAGTTTTGGAAGGATATGGGGAAAGGGTAGCTCATACACATGGTGGGAATGTAAATTCCTACAACAACTTTTGAGAGGGATTTGCGTACACGCCATGACCCAAAAACTCCCCATCTGGATATACACTAAGTGATACTTTAGTCCATTAAGAGACATGCAGGAAAGTAAAAAGAGAGAGACATACAGGAACTTTTTTTTTTTTTTAAGAAGAAAAATTTTATTTCAAACAGATTCAGTGGGATGTGTGCTACAGCAAAGGCTGGTTGTAGCAGTTTCCTTTCAAACCCGCACTGATGTATAAATTAGACATTATTTGGGAATGATTAGTTTCTGGTAAAATGTAGATTCAATCCAACATTACGCCAATTTTTACATTTATTGTAGACCCTATTTTAGAGGTTAACTTTTCATCACTAAAAAATGAGAATAACCTTACAGCTACTCCTAAGGTAATGAGCTGTGAAATTAATTCCTCACTATTGCTTTGAAAATATACTCCTAGGTTAAGAGAAATTCCGACTTCATCCAAATCTGTTATTTAAATCTTCAGTCATCACCTACTGTTGGCTTGACTGTCACTCCTCTTCTTATTTGACCCCAACCAATTAAACGCCAGTGTTTCTCAACTCTTCGGCTAAGGGCAATTTTTTCTCCTACTTCTGTGCACACAGGATTAGTCAAAACGATTTTGCCCAAATCAGCCGTGACCGCACTAACTCTTCCTCCTGTCGACAGGGATCCTATGTTCACCATAAGCACTTCATTCTTAGGCAGCTTCTGCACTTTTGCTGCTTTCTTGTCTCCTTCAGTGCGTGCACCTAGAAGCTGTCTAAGCCGGAAATAGGAAATTTCCAATTCTGTGAAGATCTCAGGTAAAGCTCCAACTGCACCAAGTACCTGTCCCACCATTCTGTCAGCCCGGCGCAAAGTGGGGCCAGTTTCTGTTCCCACTCCAATAAGACCTCCTGGAGCAGCATACTGAAGATCATTATGCTCTGCGAAAAGCGATACAATTTTGGAAAAGATGGGTTTACGCATGAGCTTTCCTTCACTATCTTTGGAAACAATACCAGGTCTGACTTCTAGCTCCTGGCCCACCTTTAATACTCCTTTTAGAATACTACCACCAGCTACACCCCCCTTAAGGTCATCAACTTCACAGCCAGGTTTGTTGACATCAAAGGATCTAACAACAATAAGTCGGGGTTCTGAAGTAAAGTCTCTTGGGGGTACTGGAATTTTCTTTACTAGGTACTCGCAGACAACTTCAATATCGTATTTTAGCTGAGCAGAAATTGGAGTAATAGGAGCTCCTTCTGCTACTGTACCTTGTACAAATGCAAGGATCTGTGCATACTGTTCTTTTAGCCTGGCTTTCTTTTACCAAATCAATTTTATTTTGTATAATCAAAATATGCTTCAGTTTCATGATTTCTATAGCAGCCAGGTATTCGAAAGTCTGAGGGTGAGGACAAGACTCGTTCCCAGCTATCAACAGGAGAGCTGCATCCATCACTGCGGCACCGTTCAGCACAATAGCCATCAAAATATCATGGCCAGGACAGTCAACAAAGGAAACGTGTGTGACTAATTTGAAGTTCCCTTTGGTCCCTGGGATATCTGTAGGAAACTCATCAGGTGTACTACTTCCACAGGATCTATAACATTCTGGCCGAGGACAACTTGGGTCGTCAAGTTTATAAATCTTAGCATTAGCATAGCCAAGTTTGATTGTAATGTTTCTTTCTAGTTCATTTTTGAACCTGACAGTGTGAACTCCAGAAACAGCTTTTACAACCGTAGATTGCCCATGAGCTACATGACCAATTGTCCCTATATTGATTGTGGCCTGTCTGCTGATAACTTCATGTGAAAATGGCGTCAACTTGGTAACATCCAAAGTGTTGAGATCTTGCCGAGAAAGGTGCGGTTGCCCTAAAGTCACACCAGCCTCGCACCCCGCCATTCTGCCTGGAGAGGAAGGAAGGCATCCGGGTGGCTGCCTGACCATTCGCAAGCCCCCTTGTGCAGGGCGGGGCAGTGGAGGCGGGAGGGCCAACTAGGGCCCAGGCCTGGGAGAAGAGGATGGCCGGTGCAACGGAGGCCTCACTACTTGGACTTTTCTCCCCATGGATTTGTACAGTGCCTGCCGGCAGAATGACCGTGTGGCAGGCTGACCGCGTGACAGGGTTCCACTTTGCAACGACAGCAGACGGATCCCCCTGGCGGCGGGCCCCACCTCCCTGGGCCAGTAACTTTTTTTTTTTTAATAGGAAAAATGGAAAACAATCAAAATGGATAAATTATGGTATCTTTGGATGGGGGAGGCTATGAAATGCAGAGATTTGGAAATGGCAACTACTTGTGGAGCTAAGAGCTGGGGCCCCATCAGGATAGATTTAGCTCAACAGATGTGGACCTAGACCCACTCTGGGCCAGGCCCTCTGCTAGGTGCTGGGGATACATAAGTGATATCCTTCAAGGGGTTCAAAGTCTAGATATCAGAGACGGAGGGGGCCTAGCACATCATCTAGCTCAACCTACCCATTTCACAGATGTGGAAAATGAGGCCCAGAAAAGTTAACCGACTTGCCAAGGGCACACAGTTGGTTCATGGAGGAACCAGGAATTGAGTCAGGTCTCTGAGGCTCAGAGAATCAGGAGACCTTGGAGCCACGCATTCTTAAGTTGAATCCTGGCTCTGTAACTCACTAGCTGTGACCTTGGCCAAGTTATTTAATGTCTCTCTCCTCAGAAGGATAATAATACCTATTCATGGCTTGATGTGAGGATTAAGTGAAATGATATACATAAAGCCCTTGCCTCAGTGACTGAAGAGAAATAAGACCTTGGGGCTTCCCTGGTGGCGCAGTGGTTGAGAGTCCGCCTGCCGATGCAGGGGACGTGGGTTCGTGCCCCGGTCCGGGAAGATCCCACATGTCGCGGAGCGGCTGGGCCCATGAGCCATGGCCGCTAAGCCTGCGCGTCCAGAGCCTGTGCTCCGCAACGGGAGAGGCCACAACAGTGAGAGGCCCCCGTGTACCGCAAACAAACAACAAAAAAGAAATAAGACCTTAATGGATTGGTTATGTACTTGTATTATTATTGATATAAAGTAAGGCCTTAGTGAAGCGACAAAATCCTACATTCTACGTTATCCTCCGAATAGTTAATGCCATACTTCTTAGAGCCAGGATGGTCAAGCCTCTGTACCAAGTTGAAGGCTTGTCCCAGGAGTTAGCTGCTTTCTATTCCAGGCTCCACCCCAAGCAGCCACATGTAAGAGAATCCTCACCACCCTCCCACTCTGCTGACTGACTGCTCTCTGAGGGCCATGCTGAGACGACAGGGTAGCACAGCTTTGTAATCTCTGTGGATCCTCCTCCACTACCCTGACCCTCAGCTACCTATAAAATGAGAATAATAGCAGAACTTATCACATAGGGTTGTTGTGAGGATTCAATGAACTAATGCCTAGCACATAGTAAGCCCTCAACATATGAGATACAAGACACCTGCCCCAGGGCATCAGGCTTGGGTGATACAGAAAAGAATCAGCTGCATTCCCCACCCTCTAAGTGCTTCAGTCCAGGGGGGATACAGTCAGAGGCCACTCCCTTCCCATTTCTCCCCACCCTGTCACATTTCAGGCCTGGATTAGGGCCCAGGGGGCCAAGTGATTCTGGCTGCTTTGCGGGAGGCTAGCTCTAAAAAGGACTGAGCCAAACCTCCTGTGTCTGAAACCACCCACATGCTCACCTCTGCTGCTGAGAACCCAGCTCTGCAGAATCGCTGACTGTCTCCGGCTATTGGAGCCAAAGCATCTTATGCTCTGAATAATAAAGCCATCCAGAAAGTTCCCCGTGGCGAGCTGGGAACACACTCCAGTTCATACCCTTGGGGCCAGGCAGCCAGAAATATCACCAAAGGCCTGCCATCAAAGCCAAGCTCCTGTCCTCAGCAGGCTGGAGCCACAAGGCCCAGGGAGTTTCAATCCCCAGTCCCTTCCCTTTCCTGATGACTTCTTCTCCCAATGAGACCATGTGTATTTTTCACCCAAGACCCTATTTTTGCAGAGCATCATAAAACATTCTCAATAAGCTCAGTGACTATTTGTCCCAATTTTTCCAACCCTTGAGACCAAAAGTCATTGAGGGTCAGAGAAAGACACAGTAAGACCAATATGAGGCCAATGGAACTAGTCAAATATATTTGGTTCACCTGTGGAAGCACGCATGGCATTGTTCTTTCAAGTGGATGTCAAAGCTGTAAACTTGCCACTGCTCACAGGCTGCAGGTGGGAGAGCTGGTCAACTGGTGTATTTGTTGTGCATGGCGAGATCCTTGTGGGCAGGGGCTGAGCCTTGTTCCCCTCTCTGTCCAGCACTCAGCAGCAAACACAGTGCCTGGCACTGAGCAGTCAATCCCAACACACCTGTCAAATGAATAAAGTTGCTTAGTTAGTCCGCCAATGCGTTTAAGATGCTTCTATTCACGCTCTCATATCAGCCTGAACTTTTCCTTCTCATTGCTTACCCTACTTGTAATTAAATAATTCCATGTGCAATTATTTGTTTAATACATGCCTCCTTGACAAGACTGTCAGCTCCCTGGAGGCAGACACTGCCCCCAGTTTTGTTCAACATTTGTATCCTCAGTGCTGAGAACGGGATCTGGCATACAGCTGGCACTCAATCAATGTTTGTTGAATAAATAAATGAACAAAGATGGCGAAGACGGCCACGGTCAGTGAGTCAACCCACCCACTAATTTTTTGTTTGTTCTGTTTTGTTTTTATTTTACTGGAGTATAGTTGATTTACAGTGTTGTGTTAGTTTCAGGTGTACAGCAAAGTGATTCAGTTATACATGTACATATAGTCATTCTTTTTTAGATTCTTTTCTCATATAGGCCACCGCTGTGCTGTGGCACTGAGCTTCACTCCCAGGTCAAAGGAAGCTGGCCTAAGGTTTTTTACTTCAAGATGCTGACAGTGCTACGGAAAAGTGTGGGGATACGGGTTTGTTAATACCCAGGCTCAGCTGTTCTTAGAAACAGTCTGCCTCCTAGAAAGTCTATCCATTTACGAAGGAACACAATGGAGTGGGAAGCGGGCTCATTTGCTGGTTAACCGGGGCCCTCCCTTTGCCTCTAGATGGTGATTTGGGACATTTGGCCTGGGGATGGATGGACCGGATTTCAGCCTGGAGTTAGTAATGGAATCTACTTTGTAGAGCTGTTATAGGAGAAAATGAGTATATAGGTGTGTAAATATTTACCACAGGACCGGACAGTGGCACTACTGCTCAGTAATGGTATCTAGAGTTGTTGTTGTTACCAATACTCTGCCTTCTAAGGCTGCCCTTGGATGAAGGATGCCATCACCTGGATGAAGATCTTCAGGATGGAAGTCTGGGGCTGGGCTTCTCCAAGGCATCTCCCAGGGACAACCTGGACAGACTGCAGGGAAGGAGTGAATCAGCTATGTGACAGAGACAATGCTCAAACGGACTTGGGCAAAAGTTGGCCCACACTTCCCTTAAGTCCAGAGTGTAGAATTGCCTTGTGCACAGCTGGATCCAGGAGCTCAAGCAATATCACCAGGACGTTTCTTCCTTGCGTCTATCTGCTGCTGTCCACCTTGCAGCCTTCTGTGTCTCAGAGTGGCTGCCCGAGGTGGCTTACATCCTGTCCTCTCAGCTACCAGAGAAAAGAGAAAGTCTCCCTTTCCTGAAGTTCAGACCAGACCTCCAGAATTGAGTCTCATTGGCTGTAACTGAGTCACATGACCACTCCTGAACCAATCATTGTGGCCAGGGGATACAAGCCTCTGATTGGCAGAGCTGAGTCACATGCCGACCTCTAGGCTATGGGCTGGAGTCAGCTGCACAAATGGGGAGGGAATGAACTGGAGCAATTTAACAATTACTGTTGCCAGAGAGGGGAGAATGTTGCTGGGTCAGCAAAACAGATATCCCCTGCAGATTACAAACCTCTCTGCAGGTCAAGTGGCAAGGGCAATGTCACAGTGAGACCAAACAAACATCAGTTCCATCAGACAAATAAAGTGATAGGATCTGGAGGGATTCCCAGAGGACAATGGGGCATTTACTCAGCATCTGCCAAAAGACCTGTTCTATAGGACCAAGATTAGGGCGAGGCAAATGAGGCACCTGCCTCAGGCACCAAGTTAAGGGAAACACAAAAAAACTTAGTAACCTAGATAAATAATACTTGAATACAATATTTTATGATTAAAAAAAATAAATCTGGGCTTCCCTGGTGGCGCAGTGGTTGAGAGTCCGCCTGCCGATGCAGGGGACACGGGTTCGTGCCCCGGTCCGGGAAGATCCCACATGCCGCGGAGCGGCTGGGCCCGTGAGCCATGGCCGCTGAGCCTGCGCGTCCGGAGCCTGTGCTCCGCAACGGGAGAGGCCCCAACAGTGAGAGGCCCGCGTACTGCAGAAAAATAAATCAATCAATCAATCTATTTATTTATTTATTTATGGCTGCATTGGGTCTTCATTGCTGCACACAGGTATTCTCTAGTTGCGGCGAGCGGGGGCTACTCTTCGTTGCGGTGCGCGGGCTTCTCATCGCGGTGGCTTCTCTTGTTGCGGAGCACGGGCTCTAGGCGCGTGGGCCTCAGTAGTTGTGGGTCGCGGGCTCTAGAGCGCAGGCTCAGTAGCGGTGGCGCACGGGATTAGTTGATCCGCAGCATGTGGGATCTTCCCAGACCAGTGCTCGAACCCGTGTCCCCTGCATTGGCAGGCGGATTCTTAACCAGGGAAGTTCAAATATAATATTTTAAAAATCAAAATTAATGCCCCAAATCCATGATGAACAAAATACCAAAACTTTAAATGAAAGCAGGATAAGTAATAGTGCTGTAGAGAGCCATATTGAAGCTTGGGGCAAAAGGAAAAATCAGAACTAATGATTTTACTTTTATGTAAAATTTTGGTATTTTGTTCATCATGAATTTTTTGGCATTAATTTTGATTTTTAATATGTTGCATTAAAATATTATTTGTCTTGATTTCTGAATTTTGGGGCACCCCCCTAAATTTTGTGCTGGAGGCAGGATGCCTCAATTCCTCTTACCCTAGTCTAGGCCCTGCTGTCTTCTGTGGGATTTGCTGCAGGCAGAGAGGGAAAGCCACCCTGAGATGAAGAGATGTGTCCAAACTGGCATTCCCTGGTGGGAAGGGCCCTGGGCTGGAAGTGAAGCCCTGGTAGCAGCCCTGGTTCTGCCATCCGCGTGCTGTCACTCTGCTACCCTGGGAAAATATTTTCCTCTCTAGTCCTCAGTTTTTCCACTTGCATATGAGGGACAGGGCATGATTAATGGCATTCAAGCAATAGAACCCAATATCTTAGTTTAGAAAAAAAAAATGGAAATAGAGCTGTTAAAAGGGGCATGTGGGGGCTTCCCTGGTGGCGCAGTGGTTGAGAATCTGCCTGCTAATGCAGGGGATACGGGTTCGAGCCCTGGTCTGGGAGGATCCCACATGCCGCGGAGCAACTAGGCCCGTGAGCCACAACTACTGAGCCTGCGCGTCTGGAGCCTGTGGTCCGCAACAGGAGAGGCCGCGATAGTGAGAGGCCCGTGCACCGCTATGAAGAGTGGCCCTCGCTTGCCACAACTAGAGAAAGCCCTCGCACAGAAACAAAGACACAATACAGCAAAAATAAATAAATTAATAAACTCCTACCCCCAACATCTTCTAAAAAATAAATAAAAAACAAAAAGAAAAAGGGGCATGTGCTGAGGTAGACCTATCTGCACCTCTGTACCTCCACCAACTCAACAGCCCCTCCAAGTGCTCCATGGAGTCCTTAGGAGTTCCAGGGGGCACAGCTTTTAAACCTTTACATTCCATGATCTCTAAGATCTCTCAGCAAACCCATTTTTCTGCCTGAGATAATGTACACATTTCAGTTCCTCCTGTCTATGCTTTATTTAGGTCAGTGTTTCTCATATGGCCAGGCTTCCCCTGTATCAAGGACACCGCAGATGCTTTACTTAAAACGCAGTTTCTATGGCCCCACCCTAGTTGAACTGAATCTGAATCTTCCAGGAATGAGGCCCGAACCAACATTTTGAACAAGCAAACTTCCCTGCCAGTTGACGGACACCCACTGAAGTGTTTGGGTCCTTCCCTATTATTTCCACAGAACCTCATAAAGTATTTTATCCTGGAGCTTTCATTTACAACCATCCTTCTGAATGACCAGGGCAAGGAGAAAAAAAACACAGGAATAGTCAGATGAGTCCAAATAAATGAATCTAGGTTTGCCAAGTAGAAACAGATCACAGTGAGATCTCCACGACCCTTCCCAGACAGAACATCCTGGCATCTCCTTGTTCAGCAATCCCACTGTTTGTATCTGAAAGAAATCATCTGTGCATTTCTCTTTTCTTCTGGAGTAGCACTGGCAACCTCAGGAATTATTTATTGAATTATCAGGTTTCTTAGTATATAATGGAGTTCCTGGGAGCTAAGAGTGAGCATGCCTGTAAGGCTGTCAAGGAAATTCATTTTAGACTTCGGAAATACGGTAGATTTTTGTCATTTGCAATGGAAACAGCCATTCATTCATTCATTCATTCTTTTTTCACTCAACTAGCTTGGCAGATTCACTGGTGCATAAGATATTTCCTCTGCTTTTTTTTCCAGCTTTATTGAGATACAATTCTCACACAATACAATTCACCCATTTAAATTGTAAATTCAATTGTTTTTGATATATTGAGTGTGCACCTTCACCACAATCAATCGTAGAATATTTTTATCACCTCAGAAAGAATTCTTGGACCCTTTAGCTATCACCTCCCAATCCTCCAACCCCTTAGCCCTAATCAACCACTACTCTACTTTCTATCTCTATGGATTTGCTTATTCTGGACATTTCATTTAAATGGAATCATATACTATGTGCTCTTTTGAGATGGGTTTCTTTTTAAAAATTATTTATTTATTTATTTTGGCTGCGTCGGGTCTTAGTTGCAGCACGCAGGATCTTTCATTACAGAGTGCGGTCTCTTCGTTGTGGCGCTTCGCTTGGGCTTCTCTCCAGTTGTGGTCGTGCGGGTTTTCTCTCTCTAGTTGTGGCATGTGGACTCGAAGGCACGCGGGCTCAGTAGTTGTGGTGCACAGGTTTAGTTGCCCCGCAGCATGTGGGATCTTAGTTCCCTGACCAGGTATCAAAGTCTCATCCCTTGCATTGGAAGGTGGATTCTTTACCACTGGGCCACCAAGGAAGTCCCCGAGATGGGCTTCTTTCGCTTAGTGTAATGTGTTCGAGATTTATGCATGTTGTAGATTGTATCAGTACTTCATTCCTTCTTAGGGCTGAATAATATTCCATTGTGTGGATATACCACATTTTGTTTATCCATTCATCAAGTTGATGTACATTTGGGCTGTTTTCATTCCTTGACTATTCTCAATAATGCTATTATTAATATTTGTATACAAGTTTTTGTGTAGACATGTTTTCTTTCCTCTGCCTTTGAAGGGCTCCTAGTTCAGCAGATGTAGGTACTAAAACACATACCTACATAATTACCTGTGCCAGTAGGATTGTGCCAGAGAGGGACAAGGCAACATAGTGTAACGGTTAGCACCACATGCTTCTGCCATTACTGAGTGATCTTAGGGGCAAGTTTCTTCACCTCTCTGTGTATCAGTTTCCTCACGTGTAAAATGGGATCAATATTTTTCCGACTGCTGTGAGGGTTACATGAGATAATGCATGTTAGGGACTTAGCACCAAGCCTGGCACATAGTAAGTGCTTGATTAAATTTTGTCATTATCATTTTCAATCTGGAGATTACCAAGTAAGTTTATTGATGGACAATGCACTGTAGCACGAGTAAAGTCTTCATTCATTGAACAAATGTTTATTGAGTATTTATTATGAACTTGGCACTGTGAGAAATAAAGTTGATCCAGACTTTGGATCCTACTGCCAGGAGTTCGTAATCTGTAATCTGAATGGCAAGACTCACTGGCATATGTCGCCTCCACATATTGTGATTTGTTCTTTAATAAAGGTCTAAAAACTTGCTGTGGGAGCCCTGGAGAAGGAAAACTTTAAATAAATAAATAAAAAGACCTTTTTATTCTGAAAATGTTGAAACATACTGGAAAGTAGGAAGAATTATAAAATGAATACCTACATATAATCTCATAGATTCAACAACTATCAACATTTTACCACATTTACTTCATCTTACTATATGTTAAATTTGTGGCTGAACTATTTTAAAGTTTAGTGCAGATACTCTAACACTTCATCCCTAAACACTTAAGCATGCATTTCCAAAAAATAAGGATTCTCCTCCATAACCACAATACACTTACCACACCTCACAAAATTAATAATTTCCTTATATCATCTAATACGCACTTCATAGTCAGATTTCCCCCACTGTCTAAAAACTTAGTCTTTATAGCTTTTTTAAAAAGAAAACAAGCCAAGATACAATCAAGAATCACACCTTGGGCTTCCCTGGTGGCACAGTGGTTGAGAGTCCCGCCTGCCGATGCAGGGGACACGGGTTCGTGCCCCAGTCCAGGAAGATCCCACATGTCGCGAAGCGGCTGGGCCCGTGAGCCATCGCCGCTGAGCCTGTGAGTCCGGAGCCTGTGCTCCACAACGGGAGAGGCCACAACAGTGAGAGGCGCGCGTACCGCAAAAAAAAAAAAAAT